TAAACATGGTGAAAACATACAACCTTGTCACACACCTTTCTTAATTTTAAACCATTCAGTGTTCCCATGTTCTGTTCAAACAATTGCCTCTGAGTCCATGTACAGATTCCTCATGAGCACAATTAAGTGTTCCAGAATACTCATACTTCACAATGTTGTTCATAGCTTGTCATGATTCACACAATCGAAAGCCTTTGCATAGTCAATAAAGCACAGGTAAATATCTTTCTGATATTCTCAGCTTTCAGCCAAGATCCATCAGACATCAGCAATGATAGCCCTCATTCCATGGCCTCTTCTGAATCTGGCTTGAACTTCTGAATCTGGCTTGAACGAGTTCTATGTCAATGTATTGGTGCAGCCGTTTCTGTGTTATGTTTTAGTAAAACTTTACTCGCATGGGAAGAGATTAAAAAAAAAAGAGAGAAAATTGTTGAAGAATTTTTAGAAGAAAACCTCCTTAACATCATGAAAGATGAAAAGATATGAATTCAAGAAGCTGAACAAACCCCTAACAGGACAGACCTCAAAAGAAAATCACCAAGACATACTATAATCAAACTTTCCCAAACCAAAGACAAGGAAAGAATCCTAAGAGCATCTCAGGAAAATAAAAAAGTTACCTACAAATGAGAACCAGTAAGACTAAAGCTCTGATTTCTCAGCAAAAACCATGTAGGAAAAAAAGGTAATGGGATAACATACATAAAATTATGAAATCAAATCGACTTCCAACCAAGAATTAGATGCCTAGCAAAATTTTCCCTCAATTATGAGGGCCAAATTAAAACATTTCCTGATAAACAGTTATTAAAGGAATTTGTAAAAACCAGACCAACTTTCAAAAAATACTGAAGGGTACTTTCTGGAACAGAGAACCAACAACAGACAACCACCTAAAATTAACATATTTGACAACACCACCCAGAAGTCAACCCAGATACAGAAATATCCAGAGTAAAAAAAGCACACAAGATTAAAACTATGGAACCAGAGATACCAGTTTGGAATGAAGAAAATTACAAAGTAAAATGAGGGAGTAGTGTGGTTATAGAACTTTCAAATGAGGAGGAAGTAGATTTCAAGATAGAATAGACTGTTTTAACTTGAGTGAAAGGGAAGGCAACAAAAGGTAGGTTGACAAAAAAAAAAAAAAGATGGAGGCAAGAGGAAGATAAAGGGGAAAAGTGTAAGAGTTAAAGGAAACAGAGGTAAATATTATTATATACACAGTCCTACAATAATGGTGATCTACAGCTTGATGCATAGATAGACATGAAGGCTGAATAAGTGTATGAGAGAGAAGGGACTATACTTACAACCATAGGTTTGACAGAGGATATTTGCATGTGGGTATTTACCTTTGCTGAAAATATATCCATGAATGTGGTGGAGCATACTAAGGGCAAAGTTATAAAAACTTTAATATAACAAAACAATCTGAGGGAATGGTTCACTGAGCCTGGGGCCCAGGACCATAGTCTTGGGGAACACATCAACTGGCATTGCAGAGTCCATATAAAGACAATGTTCTATAGCTACTTTGGTGAGTAGCAACTAGGATTTTAAAAGCTCATGAGTACTGAGGATCAGACTTTAGCCGCCTAGCAGACATAGCAAAATGTCCCTTAGCTGATTATTCAGTTATGCTGGTTAGTAATTCCATACATGAGCCCTGGATACCCACAGATAAATGTAAAAACCTTCCCTAAAAGCCGAGACTGTAAATTCCAAAAAGGCAAAGTTTCCCCCCCAAAAAAAGCTAAAGAGGACAGAGAGAAACTCTGTTAATTGATGGTATGTGGAGGGGATTATAATCAATGTAATGAAACAAGGTATATGAATGTTTGAATGTGAAACCGATGATGTGCCCTGAAAACTTTCACTCAATCCACAATAAAAACCTTAAAAAAAAATGCTGACCTTGCAAATAAATGTTTGTACAGTTTGATGAATTTGGACAATTGTACATACAAATGTGTTTTTGCTTTTGGCATTTTTAGCTGACCCAGTGACACCACAAAAGGAAGGCCTGGCAATCTACTTCCATAAAGATTATGCTCCCAAAATTCTCTGTAGTGGTTCTAGACTATAATACAGAATAGGCTCATTGGCGATGGGCTTAGTTTATTTTAATGTTAATAACATACTGCCTCAATTACTGTAGCTTCACGGTACATCTTGTAACTAGGTAGTATAAATTTTCCAACATTATTCCTTTTTCAGAATTGTTTTGGCTATTTCAAGACTTCTACAATTTTATAAAAATTTCACAATCAGATTTCCAATTCCTTTCTTTAAAAAAACCTGTTGGAATTTTTATAGGAATTATGTTGAATCCATCATTCAAAGATTGATTTGGGAAGAATTTATAGCTTAACAATATAAAGTCTTCCAAAATTTGAACATGGTTGGTGTTGTTATGTGCTGTGGAGAGTTCTGACTCATAGCGACCCTTGCACAGGATTTCCGAGGCTGTAAATCTTTACAGGAGCAGAAAGCTTCATCTTTTTCCCAGTGGAACAGCTGGTAGTTTCGACCTACTGACTGTGAGATTAGCAGCCTGATTCGTAATCATGACACTACCAAAGCTTCTATATCAAATTATTTAGGTTTTAATGATTCACAACAACATTTGTTTTAAGTGTAGAGGCTTTATATATGTGGTGTTAAATTCATAGCTATATATTTTAGTTTTTTAATTCTATTGCAAATAGATTTTTTAAATTTGTATTTTCCAATTCCTTGTTGCCAGTACATGAAAATACAATCGATCTTTGTGTTTAACTTTTATATTCTGTGACCTTGCTAAATCTACTTATTACTTCCAGTAGTATTTGATGATTCCTTACGATTTTCTTCTGATTATAATAACATCATCTATAAAGAAAGACAATCTTACATCTTCCTTTCTAATCTGTATCTTTTATTTCTTCACCTTAGCTTTATGCACTTAAGGACCCCAGTACAATATTAGATAAATAGTTATAATGTATATCCTTGTCCTAGTTTTATTTTTTAAAGAAAATGCTCTATTACTATTATTTGAAATATTGTCAGCAATAAAAATTTTAAATGCCCTTTATCAAGTTGAAGAATTTTCCTTCTACTCCCAGTTTGCTGAGTTTCTATTAAGAATGAGTACTGAATATTGATACTGTGGTAAAATAAAATACACTGATTCAATCTACTATTTCTAAAACAAACCGTATTTGGTGATTAGTATGATTTTTCCTGTATATTGCTAGATTCTATATGATATTATTTTAAGATTTAAAAAACTTAAACTGTTAGAAGGAATATTGGTCAGGATTTTTCTTATCCTATAATTTTTGTCTAATTTGAATAGCTGGATTATGCTGGTCTAATGAACCAGGAAACTATAACTCCTCTTCTGTTTTCTGAAAGTGTGTAAGATTATATTTCTTCCTTAAATATTTGATAGAATTCACAAATGAAGACAACTGAGTCTAGACTTTTCTCTGTGGGATGATCTAAAAATATGAATTTAAAGTTTAAAGATTTATTCAGATTTTACTTTTTTGTGTGTGTGTGCCAATTTTGCTAAGTTGTATCTTTAAAGAAATGTGTTCATTTCAGGTTGGTAATTGAATTTATTGGCATAAAGTTTTTCATAATATTCCATAGCTATCCCTTTGATTCCTAATACTGTAATTCATGTGTTCTTTCTCTTCCTCCTTTCTTTCTTGATCAGTCTGGCCTACGATTTATTAATTTGATTAATCTTTTCAAAGAAGCAACTTTTGGTTTTGTTCATTCATTTTACATAGATTTTTGCTTTTATCTTCACTCTTACATCCATTTTGATTTCTTTGGATTTAATTTGCTCTTTTCTGCTTTCTTGGCATTGTAGAATAAAACATTAGGTTGCAAGGTAGCTTTGAACTGCAAGGTTGGTGATTCAAACTCAGCAGCCACTTTTTAGAAACCCTGTACAGAGTCATTATGAGTCGGAACTGACTCGGTATCACTTAACAACAAGGTAGAAGCTTAGATAATTTACTATATACCTTTTTCTTATTTAATATATACCCTGGTGTGGCGCTGTAGGATAAGAACTGGACTGCTCACCTCAAGGCTGGCAGTTCAAACCCACCTATCACTCTTGGAAACCCTATACCATATTGCTATGAGTTGGAGTCAATTTGATGGCATACAACAATTAATTTGTCTTTACGCTCTTGCTTCAGTAGTATCATACAGATTTTGAATGTTGTATTATCATTATAATTCAGCTCAAAATAGTTTCTAACTTCCCTTGTGATTTCTTCTTTCATTTATGGGTTATTTAGAAACATGTTATTTCATTTCAAAATATTTGGGGATTTTCTAATTTAATTCTATGTGATTGGAGAATATTCTCTGTATGATTTCAATCCCTTTAATTTATTGAAACATGTTATATAGCTCAGGAAATAACCTTAATGAATGTTCATTATTCATTTAAAAACAATGTATATTCTGCAATTGCTGGCATAATGTTTTATAAATTATCAATGAAGTTGAGTAGTTTTACACTGTTATTCAAATATTCTGTATCCTTATTGATTTTCTATACTCTTGCTTCTATTCATACCTCAGAGGGAAATGGTAAAATTTTAAACATAATTGGGTATTTATCAGATTCTGATAATTTTTACTTAATATATTTTAAACCTGTTATTAGGTATATGTACATTTAGCAATACTGTGCCTTTTTTAAGAACTTGACTCTCTCATCATTATGAAATATCTCTCTTAATCTCTGGTTGTATTCCTTGTCCTGAAATCGACTTTGTCTAATATTAGTAAAGCCACTTTAGCTTTCTTAAAATTAGAGTCTCTAAATGTTTTGATGCACATAATGAAGAAGTGAGTTGTTACATTTCATGAGTAAAACATAAAAGGTAATGAAAACACAGATTATTATTGCTAATTAAATTATGCTAAATAATCTGATTAAAAATATATAGGTACAAATAATTACTTGATGCACTAACCTCATCAATAAAAGGTATTAATACCACAGCTTCCCATTCCTGTTGTTTTCCATTCAGATCAGTTTTAAAATCAGGTGGATAGTATTCTATAATTGGTGAATCTTCACTGGTCATCAAATGCTGTGAAAATATAAAATAGTGTAATAAAAATATAACTAATTTCAATACAGCTTTTTGTTACTATATTTGTAGTATTTCCTCATATTACAATTTTAAATATCTAAGCAAACTTTTTCCATCCTAGACATATTCAAAATATACTTACTATATTTGATTTTTAAGTATGAAGCTTCTCATTTCACTGCTATTCATTACTTTCCTGCTCTGTTGACCTATTTATGTAGCAAAAACATTTTTACTCTGAGCTTTTTGCCATTTCTAGTTTTTGTTTTTTTACTCTACAAAATCTACCACTTAAAGTCTCTTTTATTTTGTCATTCAAACTTCATTTCAATTTAATTTCATAGACTTATAATAGCTCTCCATTTTTAACTTTACATTAATAATTTACCTTCAAATCTTAACAAATATGTTCTCTTAGCAATCCATCATCAAAAATAATTTATAACAACAACAAAAAAAATACAAGACTAACTAGTATCAACGAGAAATAGTTCAATACAGCACATTTTCATTAGAGATTTTGTAACAGGTTGACAAAGCATAAAGATGTCTTCTAGGGTATTGGTATGGAGGGCTAGAAATTTTTTTAAACAAATAAAATTGCATATTTCCAAGGGCAACACATCCACTCTTCACTTATCGATGATCTCATTATTCAACATTTAGCATTTATGAAATATCAACAAGTCTACTATTTTATTATTTTGTATATCAATGACACATCTGGTAGTAACAAATGCCAAAGTAAGAGGCAAGAGCTGTGCTGACTGTGGTGATTTAAAGGTTATATGTGAACCTGGCTGGGACACGATTATCAGTGGTTTGGCAGTTATATAATGATGTACTTGAGTACTTATGTAATGACGTAGTTATCCTCCATTTTTGTATAATGCCAATTTTCATGTAATGTAAATGACCTGGTCATTGGAACCTAACCATATCAATAAATGAGGAGTGGGTATACTCAAAATACTTAATAACCATATGGAATGGACACTAAGGAATCATTGCAGAAGTCACTATAAAGTATCTGCATGGTTATACTGATACAGTTGAATGTCAACGCTTAATGTATCTAAAAACAGGAAAAAAAACATCAAAGAAACTAATGAAAAAGGGAAGTTAGAGGTCAGGTTCAAGAATATGCAGAAGGAATCTGACACTGTTTCAGTAACACACAGGAGGGGAGTGTGTACCATAATTTCTAGGACTAGACTTCAGAACTAGAAGAACAAGCTGTACCCTAGAATAATTAGAAGTTTACCTCCAGAATCAGTGAGTGCAGCTCTGTAGGATAAGCACTGGACTATGAACCATAGTGTCAGCGGTTCAAGTCCTCAACTGATTCACAGAAGGAAGATGAGGCTTTCTGCGCTCACAAAGATTTACAGCCTCAGAAACCATATAAAGAGTCACTATGAGTGAGAACTAACTTGATGGTCGGTACTTAACAGTTGAATAGACTTCTTGAAATTTTGGTGACCTTTTCCTTCCCTTCAAGAAATATTGTTCTCCTTTTATGTGAAATATGATAACTAGAAAAAAGCCTTTATTCTACAATTTGATAAATGAAATGCTTAAAGATCAAATACACCTTAAGGCAAATATTTCATTGAGAAAATGACTCATTAGATGATTCCTATTCTGATAGGTATGAGAGTAAAAGAGAACAGGAATGAATCTGTAAACATATGAACAAAGTAGCTGGTTTCAGACTGTGCCTGTCTTAATTTACTTTCTATAGTGTAGAGGTGTGCTTTAAAGTGCTGAAAATGAAGACACTAGACTTTGAATGGTTCATGAAGTTTGTCTGCATTTTTTTTAAAACAAAGCTAAATTTAAATGAAAAAAAAATTACTTATGATATTTGTTAATGAAATACTAAAACTGAAAATAGATTTAGCTGTTTAATAATTTCAGGTAGTATGCTCCTAGGTTTGCAGAAGCTCTTTAAATATCAAAAAGGGCATAAAAATCTTGAATTCTAAAGCTCACCTGGTAACAAATCGGGAGTAAATTTTTGCTAGCTGATGGAAGTACAGCAAGAAGCTGCTCAAATGGCTTAAAAGGTTTCCCTAGTTCAAAATGGATTTTAAGTGTACTGATGTCCCGAATATCTGATAGAAATGGTGCATAATGATAAGGGTAATACCTGTAAAATAAAACTGAGTGTTAAACACTAGTAATTTTATACAACAGGTGAATATTAAATATATATTCTTCTCCGTAGTTTACTGTAATGAAGAGTAGCAATAATTTAAAGGGAGAAAAAGCTGCTACCCATAATTCTATTACTTGAATATAAGAAATACACAGCATTATTGGAAAGTTTGGGTCATGTGATGGCAACAAATATCATATTTCCTTACTTTTCAAAGTGTATTTTTACATTTCCCACATTGTAATATATAACAGAGTCCTAGTGGCATAATGGATTATGCATTGGGCAGGGATAGTGGTTTAAATCCACCAGCCACTCTTTGGGAGAAAGATAAGGCTTTCTACTCCCATAAAGATTTACAGCCTCAGAAACCCTATACAGCAGGGGTGGGAACATCTGGCCTTTGTATAAGGCCAGAGAAATCATTTGGTCTGGTCCCAGCCAACCACAGTTCCAGCCATCACATTGTTGTTGTTGTTAGGTGCCATCAAGTCAGTACTGACTCATAGAGCCCCTATGCACAAGAGAACAAAACACTGCCTAGTCCTGGGCCAACCTCACAATTATTGCCACGCTTGAGCCTATTGATGCAACAACAACATCAACAACAATCTTAATATCTAGTAAGATAACAGAGGTAATTTACACTCATCTTCTTAAAAAATGGCAAATCAAAGATTTTCTTCAATAGTGTTCTTGAGAGAGGCCCTGAGAGTCAGGTTAGTTACTACAAAGAGTTTTTTTTTTTTTTTAAGTTTTTATTGTGAGTTATGTGGTAAGTTTACATGGAAGAACATTAGTTTTGCATTCATCCTATTGTATATAGTTTCATTGCCATAATTACAATCCCCTCCATACATCATCAACCAACAAAAGCGTATACCCTGCAAGCCTGTGCCCCAGTCGTCAGAACACAGCCCCTCTTCCTCCCTAGGTCTAGAGTTCCAAGCCGCTCCATCTCTCCACATCATCCTCTATGCCTCCATCTCTGTCTGGCATCACTGTTTCTCTGGGTAGGCATCCACACTCCGCTCTTCTCCCTTGATGGTCCCAGGACCCTCCGCTCCAGGACTGCAAAGTCAACTACTCCCCTCCTTTTGCTATAAAACGTCTACCTTTACATTTCCAACCCTCACAGTCAGTCCTGATAGTAATTATTCACTATTGTACCACATGAATGCTATTCCCATCTCCTTTCATCATTCCTGCCCAGACTGGACACTACTCAGTGGAGATTCTACCTTCCTCTGTGCCCTCTGTATCTAGGCTCCCTCTTGAAAACTTGTATCACTTCTTGCCTTTGCAGCACCCCCCTAACCCCCTGCATTTTGGGTAGCCAATGTCCAAGTTTCCCATTCCTGTCTACCCTGTGTACCGAAGGGTTGGGAATGTTCCTCATTGTAAAAATTACTACAAAGATTTTTTGAAAAGATGGTGTAAGTGGGTGAAATCATAATTAATACTCCATCATTTTATATTGGCTTGTTTTGCAAGATGAGGCTCTAAACAGATTTGAAAAAAAAAACAAAAAAGTTATGTCATCACCTCAGAGTCTATATTTTTCCCTGAATCTTTAGTTTGGATTTACGATTTTTCTATTTTGGTAGACTGTTTGAAAATGTAGACAAAATTTGCTAGGATATAAACATAAGAGAAATAGAGGGCTATTACTATTTTCAGTTAATGCAAACAACTATTTCCTCTCAACCTAAAAACTTTAAATACACATACACACAAAGTGAAAAGAAAACCCTCAACATAACTATCACAGGTATTCAAAATTAACAAGAGTTTGTAACTGAATTCACCTGGATAGAGAATTTTAAATCCTTAATCTAATGAATTTTTTCAATGGGCCATAATCCCCTAGGATGGAAGCATCTTTGTTAGACAAAGGTCCTTTTAAGTATTTTCACATAAAGAGATCATCTGTATTCATTTAAACTTGGCTGTTAAGGGTATTTTATGTTTTTTGTTTTTTAAATACTATGTTACATAGAAATGAATGGAAAAGACATCACCAAATGATATCACAGTAGAATGCACCATTATAAAAAGACACAGTATTTTTGTTTTTAGTCTCTCACCAGCTCCAGGACTGAACTCCATGATAGTAATAGTGCAAAATCCACTGTATTGCCTGAACATAACATGCAGCTTGATCAGCCAGAAAGTCACTGAAAAGAGAGAGAAAAATTTCATTATGACATTATTTTTTGAAGACAGGCTAATCTCTTCTGAACTTGGTATCTGCTAATACTGACTAAATTTGTCTCATATATGTTTTACTTATTAATCAGTGAGTGTCTTAGTTCTCTAATGCAGCTATAACAGAAATACCTCTAATGGATGGCTTTAACAAACAGAATTTTATTCTCTCACAGTTTAGGAAGCTAGAAGTCCAAATTCAGGGTGCTATCTCTAGTTTTCTCTGTCTGCTTTGGGGGAATGGGCTTGTCTCCTTTCAGCATCTGTTGGCTTGGCATCCCTTGTAAATCTCCACGTATCTTGGTATCAATCTTTCTCTGGGTCTAGTAGTTTCATAACTCAGGGACACTGGGCCCAAACAATGCACTCTGCTCCTGGATCTTCTATCTTGGTGGTATTGAGGTCCTTTTCTCTGCTAGCTATTTAATCACTTTTATCTCTCAAAAGAGATTAATTCCAGGTACAGTCTAATCCTGTAGATTGTATCCTGCCTCATTACCATAACTGCTACTAATTCTGCCTCATTAACATCATAAAGGACTCCTGGTGTGGCACTGTAGGATCAGAACTAAACTGAGAACCACAAGATCAGCTGTTCAAACCATGATCTGCTCCTTGGAAACCATAAAAAAAGTCGCTATGAGTTGAAATTGACTTGATGGCACTTAACAACAATAGTGTCAGATTAAAGGTTTGCCTTATAGTTTCCCTAAAGAGACTATCCAAGTAGTTACATCTATTACACATATTTACTCAATATAGTATTCCTAAATTCGCCAGATTGCAAAGCCATTTGAACTGCAAGGTCAGCAGTTCAAGCTCATCAGCTGCTCCTCGAAAACCCTATATACAGGGTCGCTATGGGTCAGAATTGACTCGATGGCACTTAACAACTACAAAGGGGCTCTGGTAGCGTAATGGTTACGAATCAGGCTGCGAATCTCAGGTATAGCAGTTCAAAACTACCAGCTGTTCCGCGGGAGAAAGATGAGGCTTTCTGCTCCCGTAAAGATTTACAGCCTCGGAAACCCTGTACAGGGTCGCTCTGAGTTGGAACCGACTCCATGGCACATAACAACAACAACCACTACCAGCTGTTATGCAGGAGAAAGATGAGGTTTTTCTGCTCCCATAAAGATTTCCAGCCTCGGAAACCCTGTACAGGGTCGCTATGAGTCGGAACCTACTCCACAGCACATAACAACAACAACAACCACTCCCATAAAGGACTCCTGCTAATGTAGTGGGTTATGACTTGGGCTGCTAACCGCAAGGTCAGCAGTTCAAAACCACCAGCTTCTCTGTGGTTTGAAAGATGAAGCTTTCTGGTCCTGTAACGATTCACAGCTTTGGAAACTCTGTACAATGTCGCTATGATTTGGAATCAACTCCAAGGCACATCAGCACTACCACCACCACTCCTTTAAATGATAGGGGCGGCAGGATGGGAGAAGAGGATGGTCATCTTTATACAAGAGGAGGCCTGAGAAAAGCATGGAAACTATCAGGAGGATCTTAATATCTGGTTATAGCAGCTCCATTACACTGTGGAAAGTGCTTTATCCTCTCAACAATTCTTCCTCTAATACCTTCTCTTACAATGAACAAATACATTAATCAAGGTTTGGGTAAAATAAACCTTTAAATCACTGAAAAGAAAGACTTAGGCTCAATTCAAAACAACTATAAACCTGTTACTCTCTATTACATAACTTCAGATAAACAGAGACATGGCATTATCACTGTATTCCTGGAAGGTATGCTTTCAAAATAAGTAATAAAATAATTTCAAAATAAATTTACAATTTTTTCATTATATAAAAGTATTCTCTCATGATTGAAAATCTGTAAAAATAAAGTATTACTATAAAATGCTGCTACCATGTTACAGGAATCCTGGTGTGGTGCTGTAGAATAAGCATGGGACTGCAAGTCAGTTTAAACCAAATGGTTCAAACTCACCAGTTACTCCTTGGAAACCCTATGCAGGGTCGCTATGAGTTGGAATTGACTGAGTGACACTTAACAAAAACAACATCACCCTACAGGAGTCTTGGTGTGATACTGTAGGATAAGCACTGGACTTTTAACCACAAAGTCGGTTTTTCAAATTCCTTAGAAATACTATACAGGATTGCTATGAGTCAGTACTTGGCAGCACTAACAACAGTAACATCATCCTATAGAAACAACTATGGAGCTCTGGTAGCGTAGTGGTTAGGAATCGGGCTGTGAACCACAAGGTCAGCAGTTCTAAACTACCAGCTGCTCCGCGGGAGAAAGATGAGGCTTTCTGCTCCCATAAAGATTTACAGCCTTAGAAACCCTGTACAGAGTCGCTATGAGTCGGAACTGACTCCACGGCACATAACAACAACAACAACAAAGTAACAACTGGAGTGCTGGTGTGGCGCTATTGGTTAATGCACCAGACTGCAAAGCTGTTTGAACTGCAAGGTTGGCAGTTCAAGCTCACCAGCTGCTCCTTGGGAACCCTATACAGGGTCTCTATGGGTTGGAACCGATTCCACAGCACATAACAACAACAACATAGTAACAACTGGAGTCCTGGTGTGGCACTGTGGGTTAATGCGCTATACTGCAAAGTCCGTTTGGTAAGGTTGGTGGTTCACACTCAACTAGTTGCTCCTTAGAAACCCTCTATGGGGTCACTATGGGTCGGAACCAATTCAACGGCACTTAACAACAATAACAACAACACAGTAACAACTAAGAGATCCCTGGTTGCTCAGTGATTAACGTGCTTGGCTTTAACTAAAAGGCTGGCAGTTCAAACCTACCAGCTGTTCAGTACAAGAAAGATGAGGCAGTCTGCTCCCATAAATATTTACATCCTTGGAAACCTTATAGGGCAGAGTTCTAGGCTGTCTTATAGGGTCACTATGAGTCAGAACTGATGGCAGTAAGTTTGGGTAACAAAATTTTGTTACGATTCTTTTTAGCCTTTTTTATAAGCTCAGGTCATTTTTAATTAATAAGTATTCTGTCTATGTAATTTTGTATCTTATTTTTTAAATCTGTACTTATGAGCTATAGATATCTTTGCAAATTGTCAGGAATTTTCTGTATTAGTTGAACAGTTCTAGAGATGGTGGGGGGGCAGAGATAGTAATTTCAATGATAAGGATGATTTTTTTTCTTTGACATGTATTTCTCGTTTTTTACTTATAAATAACTTGGTAACACATATTCTTGCCTATAGGGAACTTCTGAATTTGAGTTTATATTTTTAAGAGAGATTAATAGAACTGCTGGTTCAAAAGGATGAACATTTAAAAAACTTTTTAATGTGTGCTTTACAAAATAATTTTAACTAATTTATATTCCCATCATTAATTATGGAAAGAACTCTATCATCACTCCTAGAGAAACATCAACTATAAAATTTAAAAAAGACAACTGCTAATTTGTTAGGTAAACAAATGGTAATCCATTTTGTAAGTCTGTATTTTATTATCTAAACAGGAAGGAAAAGAAAACAGAAAATTAGCTACTTATCAATTAAGCATTCAATGCCAACCATAAGGAGCTCTGGTAGTGTAGTGATTACGAATTGGGCTGCGAACCACAAGGTCAGCAGTTCTAAACTACCAGCTGTTTCACGGGAGAAAGATGAGGTTTTCTGCTCCCATAAAGATTTACAGCCTTGGAAACCCCCCTGTACAAGGTTGCTATGAGTCGGAACTGACTCCACGGCACATAACCACCACCACCATAGGACTACGGGTGTGGCACAGTAAGATAAGCACTGGAGTGCAAACCACAAGGTCAGCAGCTCAAATGCACCAGTGATTCCTCGGAAACCCTATACAGGGTTGCTATGAGTTGGAGCCAACTCAAGGGCACTTAACATCAACAACAATAGGTATTACAGTTTACATAACTATAATCAAAGCTCCTCAGAAACCCCATACAGGGTCACTATGGGTCAGAATTAACTCGACGGCACTTAACAACAATAACAACAATCAAGGATATATAAACGTGAAGATTAGAAAGGACTGAAAGTGTTAACTACTTTAAGTATTTTATTTCTCTAAGCTGTGGTAATTGACAAAGCTTCAAATGAGCAGGTGAACCGTACTACAATTCCTATCCTTCTAGTCTTGAGAGGTAAGTATTTACCTGGATCACTCAGAAGGACTATGTCTAGACTAGAAAACAGTGTGAAAGGATATATTTCATACGGCCTACTCCTGGGCAGATGCTAGAGTAGATCTAATATTGATGCTCTATCAATTAAAAAAAAAGCAAAAATAATAGGATAGATAATAGTCAAGTACGCTACATGTAATAAGGATACGCAGCACTTCATAAAGAAGCAGCCTCATCTAATGGTGAAAATCTATAGCCAGAATTCCCACCTGAAAATCATGGCTCAGTCACAAGCTGTGTCACCTTGAGCTAGTCATTTAACTCTCTTGCTTCTTTAATTTTCTGTAAAATAATAATTCTACTTAATTCAAAGAGTTATTAGAACTGATGATTTAAAAAATGTTTAGTATAGTGCCTGGCATTTGGTAAGCACTATATAAGGAGTCCTAAGGAGCTCTGGTAGCGTAGTGGTTACAAATCGGGCTGTGAGCCACAAGGTCAGCAGTTCGAAACTACCAGCTGCTCTGTGGGAGTAAGACGAGGCTTTCTGCTCCCATAAACATTTACAACCTTGGAAACCCTGTACAGGGTCGCTATGAGTCGGAACCAACTCCACAGCACATAACCACCACCACCACCACCATATAAGGATCAGCATTGGATCAGCATTGGACTGCTAACCACAAGGATGAAGGTTCAAACCCACCAGCAGCTCCTTGGAAACCCTATACAGGGTCGCTATGAACCAGAACTGACTCACTGCATGTAACAACAACAACATTCTACGTGTTTAATTAAGATAGTCAAACTCTGGAGGGCCCTGACTATCACCAAGAAAGAAGAACTGGAGCAAAGCACATCCTTTGGACCCAGGGGAAGAACCTCATAGACACAAGGGAAGATTGATGCCAATGCAGAGGGAGCTCTCCAAATAACAGCATGCCTGCAGATGTTAAAAGGAGACAAGGACCTTCCCTAAGAGCCAACAGAGAAAGCCTTTCCTCAGAGCTTCGCACCCTGAATTTGAACTTTCAGTCTTTTACAATGTGAGAGAATCAATTTGTTTTTTAAAGTCAAATAGATAAAATAAAGAAAAGTAAAATATATATCTTTCAGATTACGTACTGGAGTTTAAGAAAACTTTTAAAGCCACTAATTTAGAAGTCAAGTTCTTAAGTAATATCTGAACTGGATGCTACTTGGGGTAGAGTTACTTGGCCTTTGACAGAAGTGAAATGTGGGTTATCGAAGACAGAAGGCAAAACCTAACTACTTTGTATTTGGCAATTTTTACCACAGAAATATAATACAAGCCAGAGTTAATATTATATCTAAAATCATACTACTTAAAAGATCTACAATAATTTATGCAATCAAAAAGCCTTCTCTTACTACCTTACCTATCAAAATCATGTGGCTTTCTAAAGGACTGTAAAATCTAATTTTCTCTAAATTAAAAAAAAAAACTAGCAAAAACGTACTCAGACACTACATCAACCCCCATCTTCGTCATGTAATATGTTCTCTTATATTGTCTAAACTCAGTTTCAAATAGGTCATCATCTTCAGTTTCATCTTCCAAATTATCTGGGAAAAAAGTCAGAAAGATAGTGACAATTGTGAATAACCTGTATTTCAATTAAATGCCTTGAAAAATAAATATCACAGTAGGTGTTCATAAGGTATCATAGAAACTGAACTCTATCCAACATTACTGAATTAGTACTACTAAAGGAGAGGTGTAATAAGTACTCTGTCAAAGAAATAATATATAGCTTGTATTCACCCTTAGATGCTGTCACTTCAGATTCATTTTTGTCTAAAGCAGCCCAACAGATGGAGTTTTCCTGGACCTATAAAAATTTTAAATCAACATAAAATTAGTGAAGTGATAAGATATATATTTAAGTGAGATGTTTAACTGGGAGATTTTTTTTTTTTTTTCTAACTGTTTTATTGTGAATTATGTGATAGTTTACATGGGAGAACATTAGCTTTACATTCATCCTATCGTATATCGTTTCATTGTTCTGGTTACAATCCCCTCCATGTATCATCAACCAACCAAAGGGTACACCCCAGAAGACTGCCCCCTGGTCATCAGCACCCAGCCCCTCTCCCTCTCTGGGTCTAGAGTCCCCAGCCACTCCATCTTTCCCTATCATCGTCTCTGCCTCCATCTCTGGTGCCACTATTTCTCTGGGTAGGGTCCCATACTCAGCTCTTCTCTCTTGATGGTCCAGAGCCCTCTGCTCCTGGCCTGCAAAGTCAACCACTCCTTTCCTTTTGCTACAAAACGTATACCTTTACATTTCCAACTCTCAGTCAGTCCTAACAGGGAGATTTATAAAATACTAAAAACAACTGAATGGTCTGTAAAAGTTTATTTTTAAAGTAATCCTCAGATAATGTATAAATTTTGGATTTAGATCACTTATTTTTTAAAGCTATGCACTTTTATGATTCAGAACTTAATATACAGACCTCTCAAAGATGTAATAATTAAATCTCAGCAAAAGAAGAAATACACTTAATTATGTTTTTAAAAAATAATCTTCAAGAATATTTCCATAAATAAAGATAAGAATACAATCACCAATCCTTTGATCATTTAGTAGTTTTAAATTTTTTATATGCCAAATCCTAGGCTACTGATAACACAATTTATTTCAGTTTTAATTCAATTTTTACAAACGTTACCTACATCCTTTATTTTTGGATTGCATTCTTATGACTGTTATCTACTCTTCACTTTTTCATTTCTTACATACAACCCATGTGTTTTTTGATAGTTCTTTGATCTCATCAGAATCCTTCACATCCTACCATGTTTGTCCTCCCTTGTGATCTCATTCTTTCTCTCCCCTACTTTTTGAGTGCTTATCTCTGCCAGTGACTCTCAATACTTCCTCTTATCACATATCTCCAGTTCTCTTTCTTCAACCAAGCTAGATAGAGGGTCAATTTTCTGTGCTTGGGCTGTTCCACTAGCTTCACCTGTGTGTCTACTGCTAACCATATATGCCAGAATACTGGTGAATCTAACACTGAGATGAAGTGGATGGAGCCATTATTGGCATGCATGTTTTGTGAGTGGTGGTGATGGTTGTGTGCTGTCAAATTGCTTCATATTCAGCAACAGGATTTCTGAGATTGTAAATCTTTACAAGAAAAGAAAGCCCCATCTTTCTCCTGAGGAGTGGCTGGTAGACTTGAACTGCTGACCTTGTGGTTAACAGCCCTACTCATAACCATTATGCTACCAGAGCACCTTTACTTTGTGAGTACAGGTTCCCAAAAAGTTACAGAGCCTGTTATCTTAAAAGAAAACCAGAGGGAATACAGATTGACTGCTGCCAAATTCTACTGAAGAATAGTTAAGCAATTAGAAAGACTAAGGTTCTAAGAGTACGAATTTAAAATAATAAACCTAAGAACAAGGACAGAAAGAAAAGTATTGAAAGAACATAAATTTTACCAGAATTCAATTATGGATATATATATATAGAGTGAGTCCTGGTGTGGC